AAAATATTATAGCCATCTGTATTTTTTATATGTAAATACGTATTTGATTTTTTTAGTCTTGTATACACGTTATTTTATATAAAACGTGTATTGATACATATTGGTTAATATTATTTAGTTTCTCGTTTAAATTTAATACACTACAGACGTTTTTATGATATGAACTGTCAAAGTATGCAACTTTTGCAATGATAACTCGATAGAACGCAGAACGAAGTAATGCAAAACACACATCAAGATAGTTAATCAGCATAGAATAAACATGTAAATGACATAAAAAAGCATGAAAATTTACATGTTTTTTTTTAAAAAAGTGGATTTCTCTCAATTATTAAATCCATGAATTATTAAATTCATAAATTTTGAATTGTAATAGATTTATTTTCTATTAAATACTATAGTATTATATAGATCGACATTTTCTTAGAGATCAAATATTGAATATTATTTTGTTAGATTTAAAAATCGAAGGAATAATAACTAATATGAGAGGAAAAGCAGTATTATTTCAAGCGCTCGCATAAATTTATAATTTAAATCAGCAAAATGAAAGAGGAAGCTCTGACCTTAGGTTTTATCAATTCAATGTGATCGTGTATCAACAGATTTATTTTTTCCGCTCAAATAATAATATGAATGAATAAATTGCACAAAACGACTTTACATTTTTGTACGAAGAGAACGTTTCAATACATTAACTGTGTACTGTGCACAATTGAAATTTATCATGAGGCGGTTTATTTTTCTGTAAGTCACTTATAATAATTTTCTTTAAATATAATTTAATTATAAACAGATCGGTTTTTTTGCTTTAAAAAAATAATAAAAGATGAAAAGTTTATATGTTATCAATAATTACGTATTATTTATTTGATAATTAATATTTATTTTCTTTGATGACAGCTGTGACGGCAGCAGATTTTCAGAGTCTATTTTTCACTTACGGTCGACCAATGTAAGTGATTAATTTTGATTAAAATCTACCGTGACGTCTGTAATAAATTTATAATTGCATTATCTCTGAACTTTATATTAATATAATTCTTAATAAAAATTTATTTCTGTCTACTATTTATCACAGAGTTATTAATTTTAGTATATTGGATTTCTCATGGCTCACGAAGTTAATCATGGTTTCGATGATACCGGTACGTTACAAAATAACAGTCTACTTGTATCTGCGGTGTTTAATTATTCCAATAATTCATACATACATATTTTTAACTTTATATAAAAATGCTTGAAATTCTATTTGAAAGTATTTAACATAAAATAGAGTTATTTTAAAATAGGATACGTGTACGATAAGAACGGTAATTACATGGAGTGTATTTATCAGAAATGGCCGACACGATAAAAAGGCAGATTGTTTCATGGAACAGTTTAATAATTATTTTATCGATAAGAGAACAAATAACAAAATAGAGATGTGTTGCTTACTGTACGTTCAAAAATTATCGCTATTTTTCGTGCATTCTGTATTTATTGACAAAAATTGTAGAACCACAACCGGACGATAGGTGATAATATCACGGACACAATGAGATTACAAGCGGTATATAGAGCTTATCGAAGAAGGAAGAAGGAGAAAACCAGATGCCGCATTGCCGAGCCTAGAAGAATTGAGTAACGATCGACTTTTTTTCTTTAGCTAATGTACGTATTACGGATATATTAAAGAACTGTAGCAATCAAATTAGAACAATTAATAAAAATATACTTTTTATTTGCACGCTTATTATTAATTATATGAAAACTATGCGATAACATTTTTGCAGCTATGGTGCGAAACGATTCCTCCAGATAACATTATCGAACTGGCCGAAAATGACGTGCACATCACCGACCGATTGAGAGGATCTCTTTTCAACTCGAGAGACTTTGCTGAAGTTTACAGTTGTTTAGCTGGCAGTGCAATGAATCTCGAAAAGAAGCAACATCTGAAAGTAATTTATACGAATATCTCATGAAGCATGTCAACTGCATAAAATGCAAAAAAAAATCATTATTTATATCAAGAAAATCATTATTTATATATATATCAAGTAACAATAAACTTATCCATATCAATAAATAAATTGACGCACGCACGTAAAAAAAACACTTGTCATTTTTTGCAATTACTGAACTCTTCCTCAAATTTAAAATCTTGATCACAAATTGTAAAAAAAATCTTCAGAAAAAATAGTTGCTACCTTATACTTTAAAAAATGTGACATAAAAAGAATTAAAATGAAACTATCTGTATATATAAGGGAGAATTGCCGAATTTGGACTGGCTAGATTGGACCGCCGTGTATTTTGGAAAAGAGAGATACAGTGTCATAATTGGCTATGACTGGCTTAAAGAGTGAGGGTGGAAAGAACAATGGGCAGCCTTTCCGCTCAGTCTCGCTGAGCTCTGGAAAGTAGTGACGTGTGAACATTATTTTTCCTGACATCTCAAATCAATTTTCTTCTGCATTCTATAAGTACCATAATTTTAAACATTACTAATGTAAAGTGTATTGTCTTAGCTATAGTGTGATATACTTGTTTGCATGTTATCATGTTAGAAGAGCGTTTTTTTGGGTTGAGCATTAAAGACGTTCGAAAGTTAGCATTTGATCTGGCAGAAAAATATAAACTTTCTTACACATTCAAAAAAAGAAAAGTTGGCGGGAAAAAAATAGTTCTATGCATTTCTGCGAAGAAATCCTCAACTGTCTATTTGATAACCAGAGGCTACTTCACTAGCAAGATTCAACAGGGATAATGTTTTACATTTTTTATATTCTACATTTTTTTTATCTACTAGAAAGTAATATCGCAAAATTTGAAATTTTCTTAGATTGTAGATTTAATTTTATTGGTTTGGGCCGTCCAATGTAAGAAACCTGTGGTCCAATTTACAAAACCAGTTGTCTAGAATGGATTGGTGTCAATAGTTCAGTTCTTTTTGCAATCCTATTTTTATTAAATATTTTTAGTATACTGAAATATATTGATTTATAATAAACGGAATTTCGTTTGTTGATAAAAATTACTTCCAGTTAATTTTTTAATGTAAAATAACAGAAATTGTATTAATTACTAAAGAAAAATATATTAATTATGTAAAAACTAGCATTCTGATAGAGAGTGTATTTGTTATCGTAAGCGATGACATTGTTTCATAATTTAAATCAACAGGAAGTAAGATGCACTTCCAACCTTCGACTCTATCAATTCAGTATATCAACGATGTCTTTCCGCCTAAATTGTATATAAGAGAGTAATCATGGTAAATGTGCTCATTATGATAAAAAACGCTAGAATATATTAATTGTATTGTGCTATTGAAATTCGCAGCGACCGCAGATCTTTCTGCGAACATGAAGCAATTCATTCTTCTGTAAGTAATATCATCTTTTGTCTTTTGAACACGATATTAATTGTAAATAAATCGTCAATCATAACATATTGTTCTGTTGACAAAAATTAATAAATATATTTATATAAAAGAGAAATAGAAATCGCGTCATTGCTATTGCATATTAGATGCATAGCAATAGCGATAAAAGCATAGCATAGCATAGTAATAGATAAAACTTTGCTACTATAACTAATTTTTCAAATTACATCAGCAATATCTGTTTTGCTGATAGAACAGATGAATTTTGCTGAGTACATTTTGTTTGTAAAGACATTAATTTGCTGCTACAACAAAATAATAATTATCTTGAATAATTGCAAAAAAAGTATATTACAATTATTGCTTTTTTTATATTATTAGTTTGTTAACTTTTTCAGCGCTTTAATTGGCGTTTTTCTGACACAGAGTGTCACACCATCGATAATTCGCGATTACTCTTCCAATTTAAAATGGTTATTCGGTTTGAATAACAAATTAAATGAAAGCAAAAAAGAAATCAAGGAAGAATCACGGACCGTGTGCAAAACTCAGGAGTGCCAGAAATTCGGTATTCATTAAACATCAACAGTGAATTTAATTATTTCAACAGTTCAAATCTCTCTTTCTCCCTTTATGAGCATTATTATCCGTTTTTATTTTTTTTAGCTAAGATATTATTAGAGAGCATAGACAAATCCGTGGATCCGTGCGACGATTTTTACGAGTACGCGTGTGGAAATTGGCCGGAACATAATCCTATTCCAGAAGGAGAGGACACTTGGAGTTTATTCTACAAGGTACAACAGAATGTCCAGAAGCAAATAGAAGGTAATTACTTAATTTACATATCATAATGCTTGAAATTTAACTTGAAACATATAACATTGTAACAATATTAAAATCTCGCAGAAATTTTGGATGCGGGAACCGATAAGAACGATCTGCTGGCGGTGAAACTTGCGAAGAAGTGGTACGCGGTTTGCATGGATACAGGTATACTGATAGTTCGCGAGTAATTGCTATGTACGTATAAAAATTCGAAATAAATATTATTTTCAGACGCAATGGACAAGCAAGGGCTCGATCCGCTGATTTTCACTTTATCGCGTATAGGCGGTTGGCCGATGATAATGCATCCCGATGAATGGGACGAACAGGAGTACAGCTGGCAAAAAGTAGATGATCAATACACGCGTTTGATGGGCAGAAATGCTTTCCACGATCTGCGCGTTCGGGAATACGGTTTGAATGAGACCGGAAAAGAAGTGCATGTACCTATCACTGTGCATATTTGCTTTCAATTTTTTTTCCAACTGTGTGTCGTTTGCGACTATATTATGATGCTTTGCATCATTTTGTACACATTGCTTTGGTATTGCTCATAATCTATAAATCACATTTTTTCACTTATACATAATGGAGTAAATTTAAATTGCAAACATATGCACATAATTTTTTCGTGATTATTCTTTTTTTTATGTAAATCTTTTATGTAGATCGATACTCCGCATTTACCTCCGGGCATATACAAACTGTGGCTTGGAAATATGCATGAACTCGAGTCAGAAGAAGACGAAAGCGATGAGGATCCAAGTGGCGAGGATAAGCAGAGCGATGAGCAGAAAGGTAGCCAAGAACCGGGAAGCGAAGATGAAGACGATGATAAAAAAGATGATGACGACGACGATAGTGACAGCGATGACGATGACGATGATGACAGCGATAACGACGACAATGATGATGACAGCGATAACGACGACAATGATCATGACAGCGATGATAATAGCAATGATGATGACAGCAATGATAATAGCAATGATGATGACAATAATGATGACAGCGACGACGACGACAATGATGATGAAGACAATAAAGCAAACAAACAGGATGATGATAAAAACACCAAGAAGAAAGCAACCAAGAAAAAGTCAATTAAAAAAACCCATCATAAAAGAAACAAAAAATTGAGCCACAGTAAAAAAAGAAAGAGTGGCACACAGACTACAAAAAAGCACAATCAGAAGATCAAATGGCAGCGAGTAAAAAGACGTGTGATAACGACGAAGGGGAATAGTCAGCCCGTGCAGCATTTTACTCATCGCGGGAAGTCGCACGCGCGGAAGAATAAGAAAAATCACGTGAGGAAAGGAAGAAAATGGGCAAAAAAGACATTGGACAACGAGGAAGATCATACATCGACAACATCGACAACACCACGAGATAGCACAGAAGAAACGAACGATGAAGATACATTGAAACTGATAGAAACGTACGCTGATTACGTTTCGAAGGTAGCTCGCGTTCTAGCTAAAGCAAGAGGCACCGAAATCTTAGAAGAGGACATCAAGAAAGACGTTCAAGACATGATCAAGTTTCAAGTGAAATTAATTGACGTAAGCATTGCGTTGTTACACGATTTTGTCAGAATATAAAAATGCGAGATGTTTTTTAATAATCTGAATAACAATGTATTACAGATTGTTCTGGACTCCAGTGATGAATTCGAGTCGACACTCGACGGCTTTCAAGAATGGTATAATGAAAAGAATCCTAAAACGGATAACAGCAATGTAAGCTCCTTCATTTAAAATTAATTAGAATATAAGGCTCTGGTGATTGTTGAATCAAATAAAATCAATAAGGAGCGTAAAGAGCCAAAATGCTAGATCTCCGTGCGAAGGTTATGATATATTCGTGAAAAATGTTTACAAACGTTTCGACTTGCCATCAGGCCTTCTTCAATGTACAAAATATGTAATATAAAGATCCGCTCGCAAAGATTAAATAATTAAAAGATGTGAAAGACGTATTTGCAATCCTTTATAGTCCATATTGTGGTTCGTTAAAAAATTAGATAGGATTGTATTAATACATGATGGAGAAGCGCTCGCCCAAGTAGAAGAAACGAGGTGGAAAAGTTAATACCATATGTCTTTCCATGTTGAACTTGAATAACTTAGTTTTCAACTTAGTTTTCACTAACCTTCGCACGGAGATCTAGCATTTTGGCTCTTTACGCTCCTTATTGATTTTATTTCCTTCATTTAATTTTCACGGCACATTATAGATTTTTACGTTTTGAAAAATTAAATAAATATGACTGTCACAATAATACCGCGCAGATTAATTGGATATATAAAATTGCGGAACTATTCGACGAAGCCAATGTGGCCATTGATGGCGATTTAAATTTAAACGTCAATTCAGCGGACTACTTCGAGGCTCTCGTCTCTCTGTTAGATGAAACGTCGAGTCGTACGATCGGTGAGTTTTGCAAACAAACGTTCCGTTATTGTCGATAGCCTCGCTTATGCAAAATACGTTTCAGTGAACTACATACACTGGAACTTCCTGAGTAAAATAATAAGAACTACCACGAGCGAAATGAGGCAATTGTATTATGCATGGGAAAATGTTGGCAATGATGACGAAGATGAAGATCAAAAAGAACAGAAAACAGATGACAAAAAGAAAAGGTTTGACGCGAACTTTTATTTTATGAATCCTAACATGTGACTATTTCTAATATGTAAATTCAAATTTAATTTAGATTAATAAATATTAATGCTCTTCTATTATATTTCTTGATTAATAAATATTGCTACAGATCATCCAGCTGCGTGGAAGAAGTAGAGATGAGTGATATTTTAGCATACGAATATGTGAGAAAACATTTCTCTGATGATATCACGAGAACCGTAAGTATTTTGTATTATTTGTTATACAGGGTGATTCAGAATAACCTGATGTCCTTGCAATGCCATATTCTTGAGCGAATTCTGAGACGATTTTTCCTTTTACAAAATTTTGTTCAAAGCTTAGTTTTTGAGTTATAATCGAAAATAGG